ATAATATATTATATTATACTATACTATATTATATTATATTATATTATATTATATTATAGTATAGTATAGTATGTTATATTATATTATATTATATTATATTATATTATATTATATTATATTATATTATATTATATTATATTATATTATATGTATGTGTAAGCTCGTGCACACACACCTAGAACATATGTATGCGACGACGAGTTACACATACTAATGCATTTATAGACCTCAAGCAACCAAAACAAGAAAGCTAGCGCAACCTGGCAAAAGCAGATCCATACGCTTAATCTCATATGGTGACAACGCTCCACAAAACAACCCTCACATCATGTGCATAAAGCTCTTTATGACCTTTACAACCCCAAGTCGATCTCGTTTATATTTCATTTCACATCCTCATACATACCTGTATGACCCCACGAGTCACAATCTTTTCTGCCATGTTGGTTTTAAGGTTTCTTGGTGGAATTGGCATCTTTGTTGAATCGCCACCTGCAGCACAAGCATAGTCGCATCCCTTTTGCGACATGCTATCCTTAAGGCAAAAAGCTGATGGTAACAGGCTTGTGCAATGCTCTTTTAGATCTATACATCCCTGCGAGCCTGTCTTCATGTTATCCCTTTGTTGAGATTATCTGTGTTATCTTTCTTATTTCACACTTTGTAAACCATCTACCGGACGTAACTGATAAATAGATCGGTACTTAAACAGTAACATAATGACGCAGAGACGATCAGAGACAAAACATATGAGAACTCAGCTTGGGGGTCATGGGTGCGGTGCGAATTGCTAAATCAACATGTTCTACAAGAGCTTGTTTATGGTTCAGAAAGAAACATTCCGTAAGGAAATGCAGACATGTAGCGGGTACAGTGCACTGACCTTACTGTTGGTGTTGCGGAAGATCTGAGTTTGTTCCGCCCAGTCACCTACCTCACGACCAAATATATCTTATACAGACTTTAGTTTGAGTAATGTTTCACCCGTGTATGTATATATGCACATACATACTTGCATGTTTCTGCATATTCATTTTGGATGACCTTTATGTGCAGGTCTTGGAGAAGGTTCCTTACTTGCACAAGAAGTTCGAGTGCGCGGAGACTACACATTTGCGGCATTGAGATGTTGGCGTTTGGTGACTGCAGGTACCGCCAGGTAAAGGACCAGATCCTGCCGAGGCCTGGCTCAAACGAGTAATGCATGCGATTGTATGTTGAACCACGTGAGGATGCTGCAGCTCTTGGGCACCGCTGCACCGAAAGTGAAGGTCCAGGCCTGGGTAAAGCCGGCGGTTTAAGCGCCTCTTGGCGATTTTCTGCCGGAAGGTACTGATGGGCTTGAGCCGCATCTTCGAGATCTTCGACAAGAACACGCAACGACCTCGTCAGAGTGAATCGGATGGCCTTGCCATGCGTTGCCGTCGAGTTACGGCTTTCCGATAGGCACGATCTGCTCCGTGCTCAGGATCCAGGACATCGTCCTACCAGCTTTTGAAAAGCTGACGAAGTCGGTGCGCACACCTACGCCCCCAAAGGGCCCTCGGTCGCTTGGAGCCTTTGGTGTGCTGAGGGTCGAGGTTTGACCAGCGTCTCGGATCAAAAACGTGCAAGGACATGCATATTATGCTATACAGTACCGGTCGAGTCGGTCGCATTTGTGTAAGCTCTTTCTCTGAGGGCTTGTTCTGCCGCCTGGATAAAGCCAAACGTCAGAGTCCAAATTGCCCTGTAGTGGCACCTGCATTAAACGCCCGAGCAGCCACAGACATTAGCAACAACCCACACTCGCCGCATGATGTGCGCTTGGGGTCGCTGGGGCGTGCTGTTCGAAGGCACGGCAGATTCCCACACTTCTTGCAGCGTATCTTGCAGCGAAGTTGAGGCAGGTAAGCACGTCTTGAGTACCAGGTGGAGGCCATGCAAGATGGCTCACGCTTGCCTGCTCATCCACCAGCAGTCTGTGTTTGCCTCGTTTCGAGTTCGACGACGCACATTCGGCGAGCCTCAAGCATGCGCAACCAGCTGTACCAAGGTGCAGACGTCTTTCAGCGATGGCTGCAAGATGATTGCTATTGTGCTACGGGTCCAGTGCTGAATTTGCTGCACAGTGGCTCTGGTTTGTCTCCGTTTCCTGCCGGTACTTGCAGCAACGGGAAACTTATAGTTGTGCCCTGTTCAAGGCCTTTTCTGGCAGCAGGCGCCGCAGGCCCTGCATGCAGCCTGCACGAGACACCCGACAAACCGTGAAATCCGAACACGCGTGCTGAAGGTTGCTGGCGGAGACGCTGGGCTTCATGCGCACAGGCCCCAGAAGCATTGGTCACCAACAGTTTGGATCAGCAGCAAAGTCAGTGAAGGGGCTCAGATGCTTCCATGCTTCCTCCAAGTTTCCATCAACTATCGACAGTACAATCCACCCTTGCAGAAGTTTAGAGTTTAAGCTTCGGGTTCCGAATCCGAAACCTTCTGTCGCTGGAGGCGGCGCTTGCTGCAGGGAGGTGACCACCCATGGTGCGGACGGAGAGGGTGGTGTCCTGAGATGTCCTAAGTGTGCGGGCGCCTTCTGCTTTTTTCAGAAATGCCTTGATCAGTTGTCTTTTTGAACTTTGCATCCGAGTTCAAGGTTTCATGTTCCATCGTAGCTCATAAGGCAAGGGGCAAACCACCTTAATCCTTAATCCGAAGTGTTTATAATTGCACCTTCAGCACAGTGGGAGTCGGTTTAGGGTGGGTCTAGGATCGCAGTTTTGGGGTTTAGGAGTTTAGAGCTCATACTCCGAAGCTGAATACGGTTTATGTTAGTAGCCTTCTGACATGAAATCCCCACCAGATTGGGATACTCCCCAAATTCAAGCTATGTCGGCTGGTATAGGTTTTGAGGTCTCTTGTGCCGAGTCACTATGCCGTTTACCTTTGAATCAGCCGGACCAGCATCTGAAGGCTGGACGTTTGGGGCCTCCTGTACGACAGCTACGCTTTTGCAGCCGGCTCTGGGCTGAGAGACAACGTAACAGAAACAAGCAACGCACAACCAGACCGCCCACCCTTGGCTTTGGATCTCACCACGATTCGAAGGCTGTGGGTTCACAGCGATGGCCGTCTGGAGTGCCGGGTGCCTGTATTTTTTTCACCGGTATTAATTCGCGGCCTGATTTTGTCGAACGTCAATGGCGTATTCAAACACGCAGTCTAGCCACTTTGCATCATGTCACTGGTCCCTGCGCTTCACGTCGGACACCAGCACAACCTTATCTAGAGGGGTCGAATCTCTTAAATTCTCTGGGGTTGGTTGCAGAGATGCGCCCTCGTTGTCATCGATAGCAGTGCACGATGACTGAAAGCAAGGCCGCGCGGCTCTTCCGTGGCTTTCGCGTGGAACCACACTCAATGAGCGCAGCGAGGGGCAGGTGCTCATATGTGCTCATGCAGTCATGTGGCTTTGTCTCACCCAGGCTCGGGAAACGGACAGGCGTCTTCAGGCAGCCTCTCGTTTATGTGCTGTCATGTTCGCGGTCTGTGCATGCAGAATTCACCCTGTGCCAGGTTGCTATCCACGTCTTCTGCCTCGTCTCCTCTGTTGTGCGGCTGGGTTACATCATCTGCGAGGCCTCGGACCGGCTTTGCGAGTCCGGGGGGGGGGGGGGGGGGCGAGGTGTCCTTGAAAGCGCAACGGGAGTGGCTGAAGGAATCGTGTGTGAACTCTCTGAGGCAGTTTGGTTGGGACTAGTCCAGAGCATGCGTTTTGTTCTGTGGCATTGATAGTGACGCCACGGCAGCACGCTGATGGCCGCTTTGACGCCTTCATTGCTGTCAGGCGACTCTGGTTCACCAGCCGCGCACACGAGAGAGCTTGCTGGAAAGACTGGTGCACACCCTCGGTTAAGACTTCCTTGCATCTATACATCCTACAGAAAGCCAAGCTTGTAGTGACTGTAGTGAGGCTGGTGCTTCATACACGGCCTTCTTCCCGCTTTCCGCGGCTGCTTTTCTTTGTATCTGCAGGGGCCTCGTAGGAATGCTGTCGAACTTGGGGAGTGAGTCTGCAAGAAGGCCAGTACTGGCTTCGACTGATTGACTTCATGGACCAGGCGGTCGAGAAGCCATGGTGACCGGCTGGAATTGGATGTGTCCGTTTGCGGCTCCAGATGATTGGCTTACACTTACATGCTTGCCAGCCGTGGAAGGTACCAGAATCCGCTGATTCTGCTCTGCCTCCTTTTCCTGATACTCGAAGCGGGCCATGATTTCATGCTTGCAGCTCAGGCTCACGAGGACACCTTTCCTTTCCTGCTAATAGCAGCATAGCAGAGCTCGCTTACCGTAGCCCCGAAAAACGGCCTTAATTTGGAGAGTTAGTAAGTGGAACATTTCCGCCCCTCCGATGTGGTCCGAATGCGGGAACGAACAGGGATCCTCTGATATGAACCCAACCCTGTCATTGAGGTACTTGCAAGGTGAGCACTTCGTTCTGGAAGGGATGCTGTCTTAGATCTGTGAAGCTGGAGTTCTGTGAACCCTCGCTGCCCCACATGATATAGACTTCGACACTCAGGATGTACTTCTTTTGGCTTTCTTGTCTGAGTGTTGGAACGGCCTTCCTCGGCGTCAGCATTGCCTGGTGCTGGCCTCAAGGCATCCGGCCAGAGTTCGCTCCAGAGAGCCACTCCCAGGCATCTCTACAGGCGGATGCGCCAGCAGCTCCGTCTTTGTGTTTTTTGCCTACGGTTGCTGGCGTCCGCCCCAAGGCTCGTGGCTGACAGCCGATGCAGGGAATGCCGTCTTCAAGCGGACTCTGGTTTCTTCGGCCTTGGTCTTCGCCTCGTGCAAATCTGAATCGGCATGCTTACGCGATGCAGCGACGCATTGGTGCACAAAGGTCTCTGCGAGCTCTGCTGGGCACCCGGTGATATGAGAGCATCCCGTCTTCCGAGAGAGCCTGAGGGCCTGAGGTTTGCATGCTCATCCTGAGCGTTGTGCAAGCACTCGTGGGCCGATATTTTCCATGGCAGCCGCCTCGAGACGAGAAGAGCAGACCAGACCAGAGACGGGATCAGTCCGAGAAATTCGAGAGCCTCTCAGGCCTTGTTTTGAATGCTGGGTGACCGGCCGGCTGCTGGAGGCGCATCTCCGACGACATCCCTTCCGACTTTTGAGAGCCTGAGACTGCCAAACCTGCAGTTGGCCTATCTGGTAATGGTGCTCCTCGCTGTGGGTCGTGCGGAAGCGCCGGAAGGCTTGGCGAGGCCGGGGCCGAAAGCCGAAAGCCGAAAGCCGAGCCGCGTCCAAGCATAGCCGCAGCCGCGGCTCGTACGCTCGCCAGTCCCAACAACTCGGTCTTGCCGGGTTTGCGGGAAAGCAGCTTTGCCAGAGCCCTACAAAGTCGCGAAAGTCCTCCTTGAGCTTCATATGTCCCGGCTCAAAAGGCTGAAAGCGTCACCAGCCAGGGAAGCCCTGGCGGTTGGGAGGCAGGGAGGCAGTAGCTAAGACCAGCGGGGTCGGACTCCCGCCCCCTGTCATCAAGTGAGGCGAAGCTGAGCAAGTGAGCCCATGCGTTTGCAATCCTCTAGCCTTGGATGTACTGCCAGGCATTCTGGATAAGCCCTCCGCAGGGTGCTGCCACTGGCAGACATGCAAGAAGCACAAGCTTCCAAAGTGAAGCACAGGCAGGCGACATCAGGCGACGTGATGCGGAAGAGCAGTGCTGAGACGGTGTCTGGCCAGGCACAAAGCCCCCAGAATGCTCCGCCCGAGCCTGACTAGTTACAAGGCCAGGCCCCCGCCAGAGGGAAAAGAAGGGAAGGTGGGCTCGCGGCACCAAGCGTTGCACTTCGTGATGGCCCCAGGAGTGGCGAGCCGTGGAGGGTGATACATCGCTCCACGTGGTGGAAATGAATGCTTGGCTCCTGCAGCACCGTGACACCCTTCATGTGCAGCTACTTTCAAGATCTTTCAAGATTCCCTTCGCAGGATCGCACACCGGCCATCTGCATGTGTTTGCTTGGGTGCTACGATGCCATGAGCAAGAATCTTGGACACAAGGCCACCGCTGGCTTCCTCGTGCAAAGCTTTGGCATCACATGTGGTCACAGCAGGTCACTGCCGAACGGATTCTGCCTTTGATCATGCCACTCCTAGCGGAGGAAGGTCTTTCTTTCGACCAGTCCGGGCCCACTGCTTGTAGTAGAAGTGTGAGATTCATGGCTGGCGCTGTGATCTGTAGCTGTGTAACTGTGCAAGGTGGGAAACCCAGCTGACGGTCGCGAAGAAGTTGATGCAACGGGTCTCTTGACAGAAATGCATCCTTTCAAGGGCTCAGTAGCACAGTGCGGATGCCGAGGTCGAGTCTGCACGGAGAAAGGAGTACGAAGCGAGGAAGGACGCCCAGGCATCGCTCCACGGCATAGTGCCCGAACATGCCCGAACGAAAAAGACAAGTAGCAACCTCTGACTCACGACCGACCAGGCCGAATCTGAGCACGCCTTGGGTGCCCAGGCGGAGCACAGAGCTCCGACGTGCTGAGTCCTTCCAACAATCCTTCATGTACCCGCCAGGCACCGGTCGCCGCACCCGTGCAAACGCAGGCAGGCAGTGAATAACTGGATCATGGTCACCAGACTACAGAAGCGCCAGGCAGAGCCACAGGACTTCGAGTCGTTACTGATGGGGCCGTCGAAGGCTCTTCATGCATGGAGTGTTTGTCATGCGTGTTTATCACAAACAGAAAGGCATTGGACTTCAATCGGCATTAATTCCTGGCTTATGGGATCGGCAAACACACAGCTTCGAAACAAGGCCGTGCAAGAATAAGAGCGCGCGGGTGAAGACTTGCATCACCTCTGATCCCAATCGCCAAATCCCCGAACGGTTCTTCGTTTTGATCACAAGGCCAGACATGCCAGGCAGGCCCGCCAGCCTCACGAGGTTAGAAAGGCTTCCGGATAGACAGAATGCCATGCCTGCGACTCGCTTTCGTGCTCAGACCAGTTCCGATGAGATGACAAGGTGTGAGAACCTGCTACCAGGTGTAACAACAATGCTGGAGAAGGGCCTTGACACACGTTGTCGCACAACAGATGCTCTGAAAATCCCGATGCGTCTGCTGCTGACCTGTCGATTGCATTGTTCCATCACATGCAGCAGGACACATCTTGTAAGGGGTGTACTCGTCCCCTTTCTCAAACTGGGTGCCGCTTGTGTCTGTGGCATCTAGTTTCACACTTTGGGGGTTCTTCCTCGATTTTCAGATGTTGGCTTCATCGTCTCTACACTTCAGTGTTGGCTCCAAGTCTGGTTCTCTTGTTCTGGTCTGGCAGGCACCTCCCGCTCCCGCAAAAGCGGCCGCACCAGTGGCCCCCGTCGCACCTCCACCACCAGCCGGCGACTCACAGAAGCATCGGACGGAGTCGCCTTGCATATCGCGTCTGGCAATGTCTGTCATTCTTCGAACCTGTGGAATCATGCATTCGTCGGCCTCTGACATGCAGCCCAGGCAGGCAACGACCTGCTCGGAGGAGGATTGCTCGACAAGCCAACCCCATCCGCATTCCCGGCACTGTTTTCCAGCTCTTCGCTAGAGACTTTGTGAAGACTTCTGCTCCCAGGCTCCATCCTCTGGCCTTGGGAATGGCTTTGATCCATTTGCTTCGTGCATGCCCAAGTTGTTGTCAATGCAGTGTTGGAAGTAGTTCATGTTGAGCTGTGAAAATTTGGGAGATGTTCGGCTGCAAGGGCGGCTGGTACTGGTGGTGCACCTGCGACAACACCAAGCTTCGATCCATTTGGGAGTGCTGGACTTGTCAAATCCTCAGTTGTTTCAAGTCGTGGCTCCCGTCCGCAGACACTTCCTTACAACCCCTGTCCGGCATCAGGGTTCTGGCGGAGCAGGTGTCAGGCTCAGGCAAGCTTGTCACCTTGGTGCTTGTCTGAGGAATCTGTTTTATGACCAGCTATTTCTCGACCTAGGTAGCTGCAGCGGACTTGGTGTGAGCCCGGCTGCTCCCACAGGCCTGTGTGCTCGGGTTTCGGAAAGACCCAGACTGCGAGCTGTAGACTCAGAGCGGTTTCTGAAAGGCATGGGCCAGGGTACGGGCATGGCGATCAACATGGGAGGTGCCGCCTGCTTTCCGGTGCTACCTGCTTTCCGGTGCTACCCCTTGATTTGCCTGGGGCTTCGGATGGTTCGGGTTTCGGGATGCAGACTTTAAAGCTTTGAGGGTCTCGAGCTTTTGTAATTGAAGGGTTTCCATCCTGGACCACATGCTGGCCAGGGATGGGGACTGGAGCTTGTGGTGGGTTGGCTCCCGAGTTCTCAGAGTTTTGAAAGCATTGCATGTTGATGCTTTGACTAGTGCAGGGGCGTGGCTAAGGTACCCTGGAGGTGCAGTTCCAGGTTCCTACCTGTCCAATCCGATTCTTTAGATCGTGTGACCGGAGTTGCTTCGCACAGGAGTGGGCACCAACATGCCAGCACCCAAGAAGTTACCCTGGCGGGACAAAGACAGATCGCATAGCGTGCCAGCATTTAACATAATTCGGGCTTTTGGTGTATGAAAATATACTGAAATGTACGAGTCTGCGATGCCGTATACTGTCACACACAGGGTTCTTCAGCCTCCATTGGCTATCCTTCCGCCGCACTTAGGCCAAACATGGGCTCAGTGCCCGGCGTTGGCGGCGCCCCAACTGGTCCAGGAAACTTAGGTCCGCAGACTCAGCCTCTGCATTTCGCAGTCATGGGATGCGTAGTCGTCCCTCCCAGAGTGTGCGAACAACAACAAAGACCTGCCAGACAGGTGGCATGCGGAACTTGTCGGCAGCTTACACCTACCATGACAGGGCATCGAATGTAATCGCGTGCACTCGAGGAACTATGATCCATTTGCAGAGTGTGATACAGGCTCAGTCGGCTTCAGTGATCGTCAGGGATGTTTTGACACACTGTCGGCGCGCGACAACATGTTTGACTAGGAAGAGAAGAATGCGGCAATGCAGAAAACACGTAATGCTACATGAGAACAATTGCGTGTCGTCGGGACCCACTAGAACAGCAGAGTGTAAAAGCATGCGGCAGCAGACAAGAGTGTCTGCAGGATACAATAGTAACAAACTGGACATAGTAGCACAGTACTACATAAAGGCGGGTATAAAGCGTACATATTAGCAGACAACAGTAGACCATACCTGAGTACAGACCAGTGTACAGTGGTATGTAATCGCACAGACAAGAATAAGCAAGTACATAGTAGTGTATAGTAGAACGTGCTGGGGCAGAACCGCATATAATGGCATACAGGACCGTTTCGGCAAATACATGTGTGTACATATGTAAATGTATGTTTATTTTCTTTGCTGTTAATAGCTGCATTTAGTAGTATATACGAATAAGCAATGTTATGCCGTTCTACATCAGTACATCTACGATTCATAGTATGTATGAATGGCACGAAAAAGCATGCAGGAGTATGTGTCGGACTGTCTGTCTATCTACCTATCCACCTATCTCTCTCTCTCTCGCTCTCTGTCTCTCTCTCTCTCTCTCTCTCTGTCTCTCTGTCGCGCTCGCTCTCTCTCTCGCTCGCGCTCTCTCCCTCTCGCTCGCGCTCGCTCTCTCTCTCTCTCTCTCTCTCTCTCTCTCCCCCCTCTCCATCTATCTATCTTTCTATCTATCTATCTGTCTCTGTCTGTCTTCGTCTCTATCTATGTATCCATCCAACCAACCAACCAATCATCCGTCCGTCCGTCCATCCATCCATCCGTCGATCCATCGATCTATCTGTCAATCTGTCAATCTGTCTATCTATCCACTTGTCTACATACTTATGTCAATGTATGTTTGTCTGTATGCATGTATGTACGTGTGTAAGTATTTATGTATGTGTGTGTCTATGCATGTATACTTGTGCACACATCTGAACGTGGACCTTCGAGCACACGTATGGGACGTACATTTACCCAACCTAACATACCCGGGGTGGCCGCAAATTTTGCCCCGCCCCGCCCCACAATGACGTGAGGCCCTCCCCTGATTCCGCTGAAGGGTCAGTAGAATTCGGTATCACAGCTGCAGCATACATCTGACAAATGAAGACAGCAGCATTGCCTAAGACGGTTTCACCTTCACCGCATTCTTGCATTGAGGAACTAGCTTTGCCATGCATCGTTCAGCGCAGGCTTAAGCGGCTTAGGCTTAGCATATGAGGAGCATTGCATCAGGCACATTCGCTTACAGGCATCTGCTCGCGTTTGCAAGGCACAGGTGCGACTTCCCTCCCCATCTTTCGTCCGCTCTGCTTTCAAGCATGACCATAAATGATATAGAAGTTCATAATAATGTGTAGTGCCCTCCGCTGCCAGGAAAGTGAGGAGTCGGGTGCTTCGGTGCGCTCGTAGCTTCCCAGGCAAGCAGAGAGGCAGCAATCCACACAATCCGATAGGTTTGTTCCAAGCTGCAATTCACGACGCATGCTTCCTGGCGGACAATTCGCATTTGCGCCACCCCGTATCGCCATAAAGTGGCATACAGCATTCTCCACATACACCAGACCACTACCCGGAGAAAAGGCGATGCTTTCGCTGTGGGTGTGTACGACAGGGTGTGGCCGGGCACTGGACACATGAGCCATCGAGAAAGATGATGCTCTTCAGTTTCTCTAAGTCTTGTTGGTGACATGAGAACCAAGGGCGGAGCGTGTCGCGTGCTGCAACATGCACGGGGTATTGACTTGCAGGGTAGTTTGGCTTGACCCAGTCCTGTAGTTCGTGTTTCGTTTGTTCGCCAGAGTGTGGTTTGTCGGTTCAAGCGATACCTGCCTGGTCTTCCCTCGGTGTCCTAGAATCAAAATTATGGCTGATGCATAGTTACACAGTTTGATTGATGGATTGTCCGCAGGTTGCGTCACAGCATGTACCGATACTTGCTACATCTTTCGATTGTGGCTTCTCGGCTCGTCGCCAAGCTGGGAGCCATGGTTTTGGAATTCAGTATAGGCACAGCGACAGTTTTTTGCCACATGTGCCGTCAAACGGAACAGAAATAGCACGATTTTAGGATGCAAGCTTCTTGTGGCAGTTCCCAACCCCACCCCCCACCTCACCCGCCCTTCTCTCGGAATTGGTTCCGCTGGACTTCACAAAGGAGAGTCTTGTCTGTACTTTGCTTCTTCACCATTCCCCAACGTTTAGGCAAGGAGAGTGCCGCCATGCAGAGAGAGGAGACCGATGCCTGTGAAATGGCCCGCGCTTCGCTCCTTGGCCCAAAGTCGCACGGGCTTTCAGCTCGACGACGCGGCGCGCGCGTTGGCCCTGACATCGAGCACCGTGAACAGTTTTAGTCAGCAGGCGCTGGGGAAGCTTCCGGGCATCGTGGGCTCTGCAGCTTTGGAAATAGCGAAGGCTGGCAACTCACTCGTCCAGCAGGCCCAAGGAAGAAAGATACCGCAAGCAGAGGATGCCGGCATTAGGAGCCAAGCACGAGAAGCCGTTGTGTCGAGTGCTGTCTCTACAGCAGAGGCTGCGAATGATGTGTTTTCAGCATTGGGATTGCAAGTCCGGATTCTTCACCCAAGCCTGCCCAACTCGCAGACTCGTGTCAAGATCTCTCGAGGTCGTGTTCCAGATGCTGGAAACACCGACACAGAACAAAGTCGTATGACCCCACGTCAATTTGTTCAGTTCATGCGGCAAGCTCGGCAGGAAGGGAGGGCAAGTGAGGGAGGCGACCAAATCGAGAGGTACATACAAGACATGTCCAATGCTGGGCGACTTCAGATGATTCCTCTTTTGTCCTATAGCTTTCAGCACAAGCTGTACGTGGACATTGCCCGCCTGCTGGTCTTCGCTTTCCAGAGATGCCTGATGACACTGAACGACGCATCTGTCTGGGGCCACACATTGCAAGTGACTTCGAAAGGGTATTTGACGCGACATCTTCCAACATTACAGACCAGCAAGGTTGGCTCCGCTCAGTTAGAAGCTGTTGTTGACATGATGCTCCTGTCGCAACGCTTTCACCTTCCCTGGCTTCCCCGCTCAACACAGCGCCGACTCTATGCCAGAGCCTGAGATGCCTTGGTGTAATTTTATCGCTAACGCGAGGCCGCCTCGGCAACGGTAGTCGAGACCGGAAGGCCCCCCCGGGCCTCCGGCCTCGGCGGATTTTCGGTTTCGGTCGATGCAAGGTTCATGCGAAGACGACTTCCCCTTTCGCCTCATAAGCCTCCGTTCAACACCTCCAAGTTCCCACACTCTGTCGCACAAGCGTCCAAAATACAGGCTCCCAGAGTCCTCACAGCCCCCAGGGCTTTCTCAGATCTGCTCGGGGCATGTGGGGCCGTGCCAGATCAATTGCATCATGGTCGTCTTCCAGCTAGCCGCGGCCTCAGAGAGATTCCTTTGGCCTCCTGCAGCGTCGAGAGCTGATCTACCTTGGCCTTTCTGCAGTATCTGACTTTGAGCAGGATACACCAGTCATTGTCGAGGATATCGCTTGTACCCTCTCACTTCACCAGCGTATGTCGCAGCATGGGCGAAATCTCCAGGGAAGTCAGTCACTGGTTGTTTCCGAAGCTGGCAAGGTTGAGGACCTCTTGGCTGGTGATGGTGAAGAAATCCATTTCATGGGTCGCCTGGCAAACAAGTTTGCCTGCTGTCATATCCGAGCGGACTCCAATTCATGCTGTTAACTGAAGCGATTAAGTTCTACGCTTATGTGGCTGTCGCACTGTGTTTGCACTTCATTCGGAAGATCTGAGTGTTGGGATGGTCTCAGGCCACAAGGTCAAGTTCGAATTGGAAGCCGGGAGCTCAATTGCGGTTCCATCCTGGCGAGCAAATTTCCCTTCCAGGCTCAACCTCTCCAGTTGGTAAAGCAGATGCTTCAGGCCTTACGTCGGCTTGCAGTGGTCTTGCGCGCTGTTCCCACTGAAAGCAGGAGAATCCTGTGAAGCACTGCCAAATCGACGAGGCAGGATCCAAGAAACGCACTCATGTGCACTATTCGTTGGCCTTTTGCAAAGATGTCTTTGATCGTGAGACAGTTTGCGAACCGCATTTTGCAAAAGGCTGTTCTGGCAGAGCTCGTCGATGAGCTCCTCGCAGATGAGGAGAGTCTGCTCAGACCTAAACCGACCAAAGAGCTGCTGGTCAGTGTGTTTTTCGGACGGCCTCCCGCGGAAGCCCCAGGGGGCCCAGGGAGGGACAGGGATGAAAACTCAAGCTCTCAGCGGCCTCCGAGCCCTCCGTGCGTCCGTCTGTCCGCGGGGCCCTCTTCGCTTCCCGCCCCCGGCCGGGGTTCGAAGCGCAGGGAAAGCCGAACATCTGCAACGCACCCGAGATTCCAGCTTCTCCCTCTCCAGCGAGAGCTCCGAGAGGTTCCGGACTCTGGTGGCGTTGCCGGCGGACATGTTTTGGCTCCCTTGTTTCCATTCCCCTTTGCCCACCCTCCTCTTGTTCCCTGTTGTCGCCCTGCTCGGGCGGCCTCGGGCGAGTTGCTGAAGTGCATTTCGCTGCGTTCCCAAAAATTGCAGTTGGGCATCGCGGTCGTTGCCCTTGCTCGCACCAACGGGCGAGCCTGTTCATCACAGAGGGGACCTTCCAATGCCTCGCTGCAGGCCGTCTGTGTTGCCTTGTTCCTCACGAGCCCCTGTTATTCCTCTTGCGCACCATCGGCGTCCTCGTCTTCGTCGTCGCCAACGGAGTTGCAGGCTAGGTGTCCTCTGTTCTGATTTAGACTCATCTTGCGCTCGGCTGCGGTCTCGCATTGCCTTCAAAAGAGCAGACATGCACGATCGAAGAGAGACGTCCAGTGTTCGTATGTCACTCTCACAGCTTCCTCACATGTAGGGTGTGCGCTGTTCATCTGGCTATCTACGGTCAAGCCAGCAACCATTTGCAGTCAACATCTTGGCGGCTCTTGGAAGACACTCCGGTCAAGCCTGAGTGTTGTGCTTGACATGAGCACGGGTGACTCTCCCCTTCGCATCATTCTTGTCGTTCTTGTCTTGCTTGCCTGCCGTCGCCCGTTCGCTCTTGTCTCCCGCTGTTCTCTTCGGGGTCCCTGTCACATTGCCCTCGTTTGAGTCTTTGGTTCCTGCAAGCACATTCCATTGGCAGTGCTCCTTCCTGGAAAACCGACCAGGAGACCAACTTGGTCTGGATGCCGGATTGTATCGAGAGCCAATTGTGCCGACCGTAGCAAATTGAAAGCCTTCTACTTGCACAGCTCACCGCTACCGCACACTGCGGCATGCTGTCTTTGAAGGTACCAGAATGTGATGAGGCTGTTGATTCGGATGGCTGAACATGTAGTCGCCCCCTGAGGCACAGGTTCCAGACAGCTGATGAGGGACAGAGGATCACGAACGTTTCGTCAAGCACAGGTCAGTGGGCTGAAGCTCAGCATCCTGGGCCGAAAGATTGAGATGTACAGCTGTCGCGCTTCTGATGTTTTCTTTGCTTTAGCTTTGGCTTGTGGAACGTCCAGTCAAGATTGCAGAGCAGACTGCGGGCTCTCAGTTGTGGCAGGTCCATTCTGTCTACTATGGACCTGAGGGCGCATGAGGCCACTGTCCGGAGTGAACCTGAGGGTGCAGACTGAATGCAACTCACTGTGTCAGGAGTTCGTCCGAGACAAGAGAGCAGAGGCCACCGTTTACTACGAGGCTCGCAGATCGCATCAGCTCGCTCTTAGCCGAAACTTCCGAGCCCTGCCTTGGAGCAGCGCTCTCTCCCCGGATTCTGAGACGGAACGAGCCTTCTCGGCTCGAGACGAAGTCGTGAAGGCAAGACAGAGAACGGCGGCAGTCGCACAGAAAATGCGCACAGTGCATCTGGCACATGCATAGGGACAATGACTCTGCAGCACCCGAATTTGTATTTGCTTGTTTGATTGAGCATCGGAGATCCCTCTGCTTTGTACCTGCGGAGAAGCACAGGCGGGGCAGACCACAGTTGCTGCAAAGGGTTTGCGAAAGATTGCGTTACACCTGCGCCGCAGAAATCAACTCACCAATGTCACGAGTTCTGTCACTGAAGACTGCAGGGTGGCGATGGTCAAGTGTTCGATACCGGTGCAGACATCGTGCTCAGGCCCGGTACGTAGTGACCCCTCGGATCAAGCGCTGCTCCCAAGGCATCCTGCTATTCGGCAGGTGTGGAGATACGGAGCAAGACACTTGGAAAAGGTGCTGGAGAGAAAGCTGTCCCAGCAATCACAGTATCACTCAGCATCGACATCCCGGTGGAAGAGCATCTTGGCAGGAAACTGTCGTGCTTGTGCGTCGTGCTTGTGCCCTTGGAAAAATCGATCTGTGATGACACCTGCATAGTCTTGCAAGCCTGAGGCTCATTGCGGCCCTCACATACTTTCAGTTCCTTGATGAAAATCATGGCTTGTGTAAGCTCGTTGCAACCATGAAAATGTCGCCCGTTCCGGTTGGTGAACAGTGTTGAGTTGACAGTGAGTTGGTGTTCGAAGGCAAGCCCACCCACCTCAGCCGGATGAACTGCCGAGTGCCTTTGCGGACAAGGCCGTCAACTTGATTTCGGATTTCGGCTTCAGATCCTTCGTCGCAAGCTGTGCTGTAGTGGGTGTTGTGCGGGGTGTACAGTGTGCGGATACTACTGGTGCTGCTGAATGCTCTCATGTTCCGGAGAACTGTTGTGTGAAGACTTGCTTTCAGGCATCTGGCGGCCGCAAGGTCAGGTGCTTGGATTGTACACCAGACCTTGCTGAGTTGCGTACGGTGGCAGCGACATGCAATTCGGACCTATTCTGCGTCCGCCAGGGTGTTCTGCACACTCGCGTCCCCAAGACTACTTTCATCATTCATCACCTGTGAAAGTTCTCACTGGCTTTGGCCCGGTCCTTTCAAAGTTGCCACGTTTGACATGTCTTCGTGCCTAGGCCTTTTCTGCGGCTGCCAGTGGACCTCCTGGCCTGTCTCTGATGGCGGGTGCTGCTGCAGCCTCTTGGCAGCATTGTGGCTGGTTGTGGCACACTGCAACAGAGTGCCGAAAGCACACAGCTCTTGCAAGGTTTCCGAAGAGAGCCAGGTGCAGGGTCAAGCGTTGCTTGAAATCCGTGTTAGATCATGTTCGCAGTCACATCAACGCACTCCACCGTGCAAGCGTGATTCTGTTTTCGAGCATGTTCGTAATTCAACTAGACGGAATGAAACAAGCGCATAGGCGCATGTTGGATTTATGGCCAGGAAAGCCCAAGCGATACCGTAGTGCCAGGCCAGCCTAGGTGAATGTGCGTGCATGGAGGTATGCTGCATGAACGAATGCGAATGCATCAAAGGGGCTTATGGACATATGGGTGAACTTATGGACGAATGAGTGTACACTGACAGAAACCATGGACGAAGGAATGCATGAAGGCATATATGGACACATGACTGCCTGAGTTTCTTAATGCATGACTGGCTGACTGACTGGCTGAATGAAGTAATGAATGGAATGGAGTGGAGTGGAATAGAGGGAAATGGAAGGAAGTAAAGTGAGAATGAAGGAAAGGTTCAACGCAGGAGGTCATGGACAACGATGTACTTGCATACAGATGTATGCTTGCATGTCCGTATGTTTGCACGCCTGCATGTTGTCTATAGTCTACTGCTGAAATATTGCTTTATGCAGTCTAAAGCAGTGCAATGTAGTGTATCGTAAGGTAGGAAGCTGTGCGTAATGATGCCATGTACGTATGCACGCTAGCATGTAAGTAAGCTATCAATTAAACCTTTCTGTCTGTAAACAAGTATGTAAGCATGAGGCTGGCATCATTGCTGTGGCAACGCATGCAATTTGCACAGCTGGTGTGGCCGGGTGACTGATTTCTTGGCGGCATTTTCCATTCCTTTGCCACAGGCCGGACGCGAAACATCAGTTGCCCACGCAAAGGTGGATTCTTGACTGCAAGTGTCAGTGCTACATCGAGACACCTTGTTCAGGGTAGTAATGTGCCAATTGCACCGAGGGTGCGATGGTGCCGCCACCTGGTTTGACTGCACAGTGGGAGACGATATCACAGCTCCCTTCCAATATGAGGAGAGGTGATTGGCTGCCCATTCCACGCAGACTTCTCATGAGTTAGGGGTTGCAATTATACTTCTGTTGCAGCTTCAAGACCTCAGCATTTTGGCAGGAGTGCATTCACCCGTGTCAAGGCATGGTGGTGCAACGAGCATTGCTGGTGGCACAGTGCTGCGTTTTCTCTGGCAGGTCTCCAACCTTGTCAAGAGGTTGAAGCACCAGGACTCCGTGCTGCAAGCATTTCTCGAGCTGTTTGTGATCTACTCGCGATGCACAATCCGCAGTCGTTGCGTGCTTCATGTGTGCCTGACCCCCGCCGCAGGAAGTGCAGTATGTCTTTGAGCGTCATGTTGGCCCTGTCGTTCAATGTACGCTTACCGAAGATTGTGCCAGCATCGCCTTTGTAAGCCCCGAGTACGCTCAGGCGGGGTTTGCACGTGCGCGTCGCGTCCGCAATGACGGAGCCTGTGGAGGCCGCCATTGAACAATACGATGGTGGTCTTTTGGAGGTTAGCACAGCCTTGCCCTCGGTGCAACCTCCAGCCGCCAAGCGTGATGCACAGAATGCTTGCATGAGGACAAGAGTGTACCAGGACAAGACAGCCTTTGCTTGTACCCAAAAGATTCAAGCTTTCGCCGAAGCTTGGTCGCATTCGCTGCCTGGGACAGACAGTTCGACCGTCGCATCTGGGCGAGAGTGGTCCTCGTTGCTGCTGAAGGCACCCTGGAAGATCGTCTCGGACCACTTTCTCAGTGCCACCTGCGTCGCGGAGAGGGATGGATCACGCTTTTCCGCGCCTTGGACAGAAAAAACTGCACTCGACTTTGCGTGGGCGGCCTTTCTCTTGTCAGTTTCGAGTTTGGACTATCCTGATGCATCCGAGGTGGTGCAATTACAAAGCAACTCAAAAGGCATGTGAAATAATGCAAAAGAGTCGTGTTTGGTGCCGGTTTTTCCATGTGCTCTGAGCCAGGGAAGAGGCCCTAAACCAGATCGACTTCAAGGGCAGCGTCATCGGCATTTCGCTGGAGGCAGCTCACCAGCCTTTGCTGATCTCATGGATCCTGGCATGTCATGGCTTTCTGGTACATGTACACTGATTGACAGCGACAACGAAGTCTGCAGATTCGCAAAGTCCTGCCTTAGCGAGATACTCAGATGGTACGGATTCTTGCAGGTCGGTGGCCCTGTTCCTGGACCAATGGAGGGAGTCGTAGTGGGGGCTCCGGTCGTTCTTTGAGACTGACGGGGCTGCTGGGTCGACCTGCGCCTCATTTCAAAAGCGTGTCCGGTGCAGGGCAAGCTTTGCTGGCAGTTGCCCGGACCTGCTTCGCGAAAAGCAATAGTTCTGAATGACTGACTTCTCCCCGCCGCTTGGCTGGGAAATCCATGCCAGTGACGAAGATCTTCCGTCTTCGCCGACCTGAGTTTCGAGCTATTGCGGAAAAGGGAAGCTTGAACACCAAACTGGGAACTAGCAAGGAAGGATGTAGCCCAGTGCATTGCAGGAAGAGGATCCTTTCCTCACGGTCTCGGCCACGGAACTTGAGGAGCGCCTGAAGGTGCGGTCCTGAAGCGCGACGGGGAGAACGATGCAGCGGAATGCATGTGATACTTTCAGAAGCCAATCCTTATAGCTGGTGCAGGTCAACGTCATGCACGATCCAAAGACATTGAACCGTGCTCCCAAAATCCAGGACTTGGATGAGCAGCGCCGAGTCCTAAAAGCGCTTCAGGACTCGGGATCCGGTTAAACAACACCACTACTACCACCACCACCACGACTACTACTACTACTACTACTACTACCACCACGACTACTACTACTGCTGCTGCTGCTACTACTACTACTACTTCTACGACTACGACTACGACTACGACTGCAACTACTACTACGACGACGACGAGGACTACTCCTCCTATTCCTCCTCATC